AAATAATATGTCAATAGTAGGTGAAAATTTTACAAATACTACCATTTATTCAAATTAAGTGCTCTTACCAATTTTGAGAAATTAATAACTGTTTTCGATACTTTTATTCGTTATCCGAAAGGAATAAAGTGTTTTAATACTTATGAAAAACTTACCCATTCGTTCACGAATTAACCTGCTTCGGCGGAAGTGTGTCATTGTGCCGATCCTGACTTTTCAAGGCAACCCTCAACAGCTGATGTTACAACCGGGTCGGTGAACTCACTTCACTGCACGGCCACTTTTACTGTTTTCGACGATATTATAAAAAATAAATCGTTGTTACATCGTAATCGCAAAATAGCCAAATTAGTGTAATTTATGACACTGAGGTGGTTGAGGAAACGTCGTTACGCTGTTTCACCTCAATTTATTAAGATATGCATAAGTGTGACGGTAGGTGTACAATTCGCCCGGAAAATACAATCGTTTTATACGTTAACTGGCCCTGTGGCAGAGGTTCGGCGGGTACATCTCGACAATTGATAGAAGAAAAACTGAACTCGTTAATAATTCAAAAACGAAGCTTCAACCAACATTTTGATAAAGGAAAAAGTTGTTCAGAGTCACCCTAGCAACCCCCCATTTCCGAGTGTTACACTCTTTACGGGACACCCTGCATATTACATTGGAAAAATATAGACGAAAGAAAAATCTTCTTCGAAACTTCTAGGAATCGTAATGTAATTCACGATACATTGATAACAGCTTTTTTATTCGGATTAATAACACCGTTTGCGGCAATGCCATTACTGCTGAATGCAGCTGACACTTTAGGATTCAGCAATGTGTCCAGCGATCGACCGTTGGTATTTCGAGTTGAACATTTCGTGGATGTGGACAAATACTACTATACCCTTTTAGTGCATTCATACTTTGGTACTATAGCATTTACTGCGATTGTTGTCTCTATCAACTCGATAATAGCTGTGTACGTCCTACACGAATGCGGACTTTGTGAAATCTTAAGGTAATCATGTAGCCTTTTTCTGTGTAAATAATAATAAATAGACGAGACGTACCCTTCTGAAAATCAAAATAATATCCTATATGTACGTATTGCATATACAGTTGTAATTCCAGACCTTGTTCATAGAAAAATATACAGGTCGCCAAGTACATGTCGATAGATTCTAATGTTATGTACATTAATAACATTTATTAGTACAATATACGGTACATGTTTCTAGAACTATGATGATCCATTTTGACATGTCAATTTTTTGCATATTTACACTTCATTAAATAAAACTAATTATTGTGGGAATCGTAATAAAATACGAACTTCTAATTAATTAAAAGTCAACGTTATGTTTCTAAACGAATGAATGAATTAATTACTGTTAATATTTGTTACCATCCTACAAGTTTATTAATAAGTGTATCAATATCAAACTCTGAGTTGTAGAAAATATCAGAAATACATATTTGAATATATTATTGCAGTGCTCCGCAACCTTTTATCTTCCACGGCAAACCAACAGTTTTTTCGACAATTCCGCGGCATACCACAAGTAAAAGCTTACATATACATTGTCACGTCCCCGTTCCCGGTAGGGAAAAATAATAGCGACTCAGGCTATTATTTAGCAGGGCCTTTGACGATCGGCAATCTTTCGGTTCACGCGGTACGTATGCCACGCGTCTGTAAGCACCGCTTGAAAAAAAGAATTTAACTCAGGATAGTGTGGTATCCAAAAATGTATTTATTCTATATTCCTAAGCGACTGTTAAGTGTTCCGGCGTCCGTCTCGCTCGAAGGCTATTTCCAGAGTGTCCTTTCCGCGTCGTATCCCGTGTTACTCCTAAAAACCGTTGGAGCCCCCCTCGTTCGACTTTTCGGGGAAAGGGCTTAGTTTATGGGACCCTCAGGTACCCGCGCGCTTTCTCTTCCTGCGTGACAAAGTCCAGGCCACCACTTCGCCGCCGGAATCTCTCATTTCTTACACGTCTAACCGGGATCCGTGGTCTTTATGAACGTAACAGCGTGCAATACTCACGAGGGTGAACTGGTTGCGGTGTCGCTGGCGATGGATTCCTTGTTGTTAAGCGAGAGTTTGGAGGTTACCGGTGATAGAAATCTACGCTAGGCGTATGTGTATACAGGGTGTCCCATAACTCCTCGAACACCCGGAACTTTTTCCTTTTCCAAAATATAGTTTGAAGCTTCGTTTTTGAATTATTAACGAAAAACACTGGCCAATCAGAGCGCGCAGTTCGTTCGTCCCTGAGCGGGGGCTCTACGCGCGCTCCGATTGGCCAGTGTTTTTCGTTAATAATTCAAAAACGAAGCTTCAAACAACATTTTGGTCTAAGAAAAAGTTGTTCAGAGTCATCCCAGCAACCCCCCCTTTCCGGATGTTTGAAGAGTTACGGGACACCCTGTATATGTGTATTCTATACCTACTATAATTAACTAACACTAACTACAATACTAAACTCTAACTTAGACTTATAACTCAAGATATAGTAACACTGGATATGGAAACGAACGCGGAGACTCAGGGAGGAGTGGGAAGCGCTCCGACTGGGAATGGACGAACAGCCCTCGTCCGAGGCTCTTTTTATATGGTCTGAGTGTAGAGACTTATAACTCAAGATATAGTAACACTGGATATGGAAACGAACGCGGAGACTCAGGGAGGAGCGGGAAGCGCTCCGACTGGGAATGGACGAACAGCCCTCGTCCGAGGCTCTTTTTATATGGTCTGAGTGTAGGCTCGCACTGCGTATTGAGTTAGGCGGAAATTTGGGAGATAAGCCGTGATTGAATATTATGTGAGATAGTGGTGTTGTGTTTGGTTTAGCGGATGTTTGGAAGATAGGAGGCATGGAAAACCTGTGATTGAATTTGGGAGGATGTTTATGTGATAGGAGTTGTGAGAAGTGGCAGTCGAGTTTATGTGCGATAATTATGGAATGTGTAACGTGTCAGGTTTGGGAGGCTGTTTTGGGGAAGGAGTGTAGGAGATAAGGGAGCCTTAAGCTATCGGTTACATATGAAGCTTATATCTAGAGTACCTTATTTAGACTTAATATTAGTTCAAATGTCGGGTCGCCCGACATCACAACATAAATTACAGTAATACGTATATGTTTTTATTAGATAAAAAACACAATAAAATAGCTCTATGTATGTAGATATTTACTTTTATTTACGTTTTATATAAAGCAATTTGAATTGTACACCAACACAAGAACAAAAATATATAGTTATAGATTACATGTAAAAAAAATTTCCTCTTTAAATTTAAATATAAAGTTTGTTGTTTGGTATTTACTTACGCCTACTTAATCAATGTTAATTTAAACATAATAACTAATTTATTAATGAGATATTTGAGCTTGTTTTGATGAACATATATAGTTGGGGCCACGATATAGCGAGGTCGTAAATTAAACTCTCAAGAATCGGCACCGATTGATGTTGCGGCACTCAAGGCCGTGTGTTGCAGTCTGTTTGAGGGTTCCAACAATAAACGAATGGTAGCATATGATTTGGTACTTCAAGTAGAAAATGGTATTTCATTTACAAATGGAAAATATGTTAATATTAAGCTACACAATCTTTTTGCACTTTCTATCTGTATATAACACGAGTAGATAAACTAAGATGCTAAAGACATCAATAAGACCTTTACCTGTAACCGTACTTCCAAAAGCGGCTTCCCCAAGAGGGAGAAACCCTAATTTGTCCTAGCTGTATGCAGTTTTCAGTAAGTATATTAGAATCAGTTAACTTTCGCTGGATACAAGAATTCTTCGTACGGTCCTGACAATGGTTTCAAGTACTTATTTGCTCGTATCTCTGTCAATTTTCGGGTCCCGGCAGCTAAAACATGTTTACTTTGACGTCTGACCGATTTTACGACCTCGCTATATCGTGGCCCCGACTATACGTTTTATATTTGGCTCTATATTAGGAAGTACTACCCGAAGTTCGTGGTCAAGACCCTTTAAACACGATCGTTTGTCATTTTTAATTAGAACCAGTGTCGAAAAACTTTGTTCGCATAAGTATGTCGTAGAAAAAGGGAGCAAAATTGCAATAGCCTTGTCAGAAATTATGTGACACTAGTGTGCCGCGGCACAGTGGTTGCGAAGCACTGTATTATTGTATGCAGAGTGCCTTCAAGTAAAAGAACACTTGTTCGAGATCTGCTAGAACATGCAATCCTTAGTTATAAAGTTTTATAAACCAGTATTAATCAAATTCAAATCAAGAAAATTCATGGATTTTATTAAAGGATATTAATTTATTTTGTCAAATGTTTTCCACATTCTTGTAGCCATATTTATCTTGTTATTATAGAATTAATGATATATTGACGCTTTTCTTACTATTTTTTCATATAACTATGTTTTCATTATTTGTATAATAAATGCTTCTTTTGTATCAATTGATGTGTATTGTATGATACATACATAAGTACTATACGTTGCTGAGAAAATGACGAGCGGAAGGAAGGCGGGACTCATTGGTTGTAGCGGACCCATTCATAAACGGTCACATCTACTAATCCATCGCGTGACGGTGAGCATCAAAGGTTGAGCGAGCGGTTTACTCCTCGTGTGACCATCTCTGGACATTGAAAAAACGGATTGGATAGCCTTTAGAGAAAAGATCGATGAGGAAATTAATTTAAAGATACCACTAAAAACTAAGGAGGAAATAATCGATGGTACTGAGTATATCACTAGATTAATACAAGAGGCAGCCCGGGCAGCGACTCCTGCAGTTAACGCTAAAGAAAGAACCATCAACTACCCTAAGGTAGTTAAAGAAAAATTAGCGGAAAAAAGAAAATTAAGAAGAATATGGCACATAAGTAGGAACCCCATTGATAAAACCAAGTTCAATAGGGTAGTCCGTGAGTTAAAAAAACTCATTTGGGAGTTCAATAATGATACCATTAAGCAAAACTTATCAAACCTAACTAACACGCAAAGTTCAGATTACTCTCTCTGGAAAGCAACGAAACGAATAAATCAGCCGCAGCAACCAAGTCTTCCAATCAGGAAAGTGAACGGTGATTGGGCCCAAAGTGATAAGGACAAGGCAGCGGTATTCGCTAAACATCTCTCTGAAGTGTTTGCTTCTCGTCCTACTCACTTAAATGACAAGGAAACTCGAGACTTTTTAGACTCTCCTTTGCCTATGACTTTGCCAATAAAACATTTCTGTCTAAGAGAAGTTAAAAAAATAATTGATAGAGAACTTAATCCCAGGAAGTTACCTAGTGATGACTTAATAACTGGTAAGATCCTGAAGGAATTACCGAACAAGGCCATCGTCTACATAACCAGTCTGTTCAATGCAATTATTCGTGCAGCATGTGTCCCTAGCCAATGGAAAATTGCTCAAATCATTATGATTCCTAAACCAGGAAATTCACCCAACGACGTTACATCATACCGACCTATAAGTTTATTGCCCGTTACGTCTAAATTATTTGTAAAACTGCTGCTAAAAAGACTGAAGACTCTAATGAGCAAAGAGAAACTTGTTCCGAGTCACCAATTCGATTTCAGAAATAACCATTGAACAGTTGAACAAGTTAATAGAGTCTATAATGTAATTTCAAATGCACTAGAGGAAAGAAAGTATTGCTGAGCAGCCTTTTTAGACATACGACAACCTTTCGATAAAGTTTGGCATTCTGGCTTGCTCTACAAAATGAAAAAGAAACTACCCCAGTATTACTTACCCCTGAAGTCATACTTAAGTAATAGAAGCTTCCATATACGCCACGGACATAAGCTGTCCAAGTCTTACCCTATCACGGCTGGAGTGCCACAAGGAAGCGTACTTGGACCACCACTGTACACTCTATACACCGAGGATTTACCTATTATTATTTCTAATAATATTATTAGAAATTATTAGTAGTTGATCGAGATCCCAATGTAGCTTCTAAAAGACTAAAAAGGAATTAAAAATATACGAAAGTGGATGGCATGTGGTGAATAAAAGTTAGCGAGACAAAGTCTGTGTATATTATGTTTATACCATCATCATTTTTATACCAACTTATACCATCTGTAGACACAGTGAAGTTCCTTGGAGTGCATCTAGACAGAAGACTAACGTGGGCAAAACACAAAAACCAAGAGAAAAGAGTTGGACCTTAAGCTACGTAACATGTACTGGCTTATTGGTAGAAAATCTCAGCTATCAATACATAATAAATTAAGGAGCTACAAAGTTATATTAAAGCCTGTGTGGACTTGTGGAATACAGTTATGGGAAACTGTCAGTAATTCCAACCTGGAGATTGTACAAAGATTCCAGTCCAAAGTACTCAGATTAATGCTTGATGCTCCCTGGTACATCACAAATGTGGCCATTTATAGAGACCTAAAAATACCGATGATTAAGGAAGAAATCCAGCGACATAGCACTAATTACGAAGAAAGAATCAGAACGCAGCCTAACGAGTTAGCGTCGAACATATTAGACAAGAATGTGATGATTACAAGACTCAAAATATTTAAGCCACCTGACCTACATAAACGGTTTGACTAAATTTCAAGAATAACAAATACAGAGAACAAAGTGTCAATGGATGTTTACTCTGAATATGTTACTTCTTTCTATTAACACATTGTAACAACCATTAACGAAGACGGCGACAAAAATTTCCATTCCGCGAGAGGAAGTGAGAGGAACGACTCTCTATCCTTGTCGACAATCAAATAATCGCGAAGCGATAGAAGCTTCCAGAACAAAATAGCTCGCGAACCGCGGTAGACTCGCGGTTTTACGCGGGATTCTCGCGGTTTCGCGCGGGAAGCCAGTTAGCGACGCGACTTGTTGATAAGCCGCGCTTCATTAGCAACAGTCAAATATAAATATGTATCACGGCCGCGGACGAGGCCAGGCATTCTTGTTGTACTCTGCTAGGAGAGAACGAGGTATTACCATAGGTCGCCCTTCAGAGTGGGAGAGTACGAAGCCTAGCTTTCGGACGCCCTTACAGCACAGGAGAGTACGGGGACTGACACCTGGGTCACTCTCTGGAGGAGAGAACGGCTGGACTATCCGCCGGTCGCCTCTGAGAGAGGAGAGTACCGGGAAGTTACCCGGACGCCTGAGGAAGCTCGGAGAGGATTGCTTAGTACTTCTGTTGGTATGGAGAGAACGGCTGGAATATCCGCCGGTCGCCTTCCAAAGAGTAGAGTACAGGAGGCTCATCGGACGCCTTCCCGCAATAATTGTTATAATTCACTTCACGCGTATTACATAATATTGTGATAGGAGAGCACGAGAGCTATACCTGGGTCGCTCCTGGAATGGAAAGAACGGCTGGACTATCCGCCGGGCGCCTTCCAGAGAGTAGAGTACAGGAGGCTCACCGGACGCCTTCCCACGAGTACGGCTGCTTAAAGGCGGACGCCCGAAAGCAAAAGCAATAGCTCGAACACTGCATTGATTTGTTCGAAATTATTCTGTAGCAAACATTTAACATGTACCGACGAAAGCTAAATAAACTTTTGTGTTTTTTCCCAGATACCAAAGAAAATCCTTTCTTTCCAAAAAAATCCTATTACAATATAAATTATTTATTGTTATTTAATAACGCATTATAATTTTGAAGTAAGAAAAGAAAAAAATGGTATTATATTCAGGAAAAGTGATATATGTATACAGTTTATCAACAATAATTTTATAAGAAATCGATTATAAACGTATTTTTACTTAGTTAAGCAGCTCTGGTGTGGTCTGTGAGATGATGGAGAGAGAAGTTTTGGGTTTTTTATGTCACAAATTGTCCTAGGATTCCTGGACATGAATTGTCGGGATAGATATTATAAAGATAACAATATTTACAATTTCCTGCTCATGCGGTGACAAGTTGTCCAGAAATCCTAGGTTAAAATATTGTTTTATGGAACGTGGAAGGTTGCGCTCGCGTACAAAACTTTCGCCAGTTTCCTTTATTGCGCTAAAAGTCTACCGGTACCCGAGCGATGTCTGTTACGCATATGACACAGATCTCAAGCTAGCATCTTTATGTTTAGAGACACTCTGCATATCTTTCCAATATTATTTAATTTCAAAAAATTATTTTAATTTTTAATAGGAAACACATCGAAAGAAAATTTAATCCAAACAATACAGTTTATTTTGTTTAGCCCACAATCTTTTTGTTACTTTTTTGGATACATTCAAATCTTACACACGCACATGCACCATACGGAGAGCATGTACAAACGAATGTACTAATATATAATTTACTTACAGTTCAACTTACTAATTTACTGATACTTAAAAATAATACAACTTATATATAATTAAAAGTATTTCGCATTAAATTCACACGCTTACCTATCAATATATTAAGTTTAATTATCTACAATTTAAATATCTTTGAATAGTAAATTTTTTATAGTCTTTCATGGAGTAATTTTCCAAGTTAAACGTATACCTTTTCTTAATTGCCATATACAGTAAATTCTCTACAAGTGTCAGTCCGCAAGGAAGCTAAACCTGACACTTGTAGAGTCAGGGACTACGTTTTCGAGCCTCGCGTCCGCCTTTCTAGTTTGCCGAACGTAGACAAGGACAGCGAATAAAAGATAAGGATGAAACGTGAGTCGAGGCAACCAAGCGATTTAAATACCAACTTTTTTAATTTTACGTTTTTTTATCCCGAAATTTTTCTTAACATATTGATGAGATTTTTCTGATGAAAATGACATCATTAAATTAATCACTCAATAAGTTTTAACGTTAGATTGTTTCCTCGATATGGCCATGGTGGTCATCAGTGACTGGAGTGCCTCAAATGTTTACAATAATTACAATAGATGTTGTCAACTAAAAATTTTGAACGTCATAGCTAGCTAGACATTATTTTCAATTGAAAAAAAATAATTATAAAGCATAATACTATAATCCTATGCTTAAAATGTATTTTCTTGTGGCCGCCTGACAGCAACCTGTAAATCTGGCGCGACAGTGAACGTGTTAATAAGTAAATGTTGTTCAAATTATGTCGTGTTTTATGTCATTTTCATCAGAAAAATCTCACCAACATGTTAAAAAAAATTTCAGATGAAAAAAAGTAAAATTAAAGAAATTATATTTTTCTATTATGATTTGTCGAGCCGTGAAATCTCGTAAAAGAAACCGAGTGGTGTAGCGTTACACGCTTGACTGACAGCGAGAGAGATAACATAGGCGCAGCAATGACGCAGACCTAGGCGTAGGATCATCTATACTGACACTTGTAGAATCCAAACTGACTGACACTTGTGGAGAATTTACTGTAATACGCCAAATCTAGATATATTCTCAACAGATTTTTAATCTTCAAATTATAACTGTTTAGAGTGAAACTAGAAAATTTCGTGGAAGATGATACCATAAACGTGGAACTGCATCTCAACAAGCGCATAGACAGATGGTATCAAAATTTCAGAGAGTGTGTACTCTTGCATAAGCACATAATCGAGTCAGTATTAATAACTATTTCAGAGGCTGTTTTTGATTCATGTCTTCACTAATATACAAAAATGCTTTAATTAAACTAAAATATTAAATTTTACATTTTATTTTCAATTATGAAGATTTGCTAATCTACTTGAGGAAGCAAATACCACGTCTTATTTGTTCCAGTTGGGGTTTAACATGATTTGCGTAAGCTTCACACAGTTTCAGGTTAGTATTGATTTCAGTTTGAGCACATCTTTACAATTCATCAACAACTATATATTTATCAGTCGTTTCTTCTACAATTAGACGGTAATAAATTTACAAGATACACCCAAGGCTCTCAGATATGTTTCAGTCACGATTTGCTTGTTATGCGACCTTTTGTTTGTAAGCTGGCCAGGACAACGATTGTCCGATTATACTGAACGCATCTTCGAATATACGTAAGAACTGTTCTTCATTTTAGATAATTTCTTGAAGTAGTTGAATAAGCGGTACATTACATTTTGTATATTTTTTAAAAGTTTTGTTTTATTATGAAAACTTTATGAAACATATAAATAAGAAAATTACTTTTTTATACGAATTTCAATATTTTGACATTCTTAAACTATATCTCTATCGTTTTTATATACATATACAATATAGTTTCTACTCACAACTATCATAGCTTCCATTATGATTAGCATTTAGAAAAGTTCAGTTTGTAAATATTCTTTTAATCTTTGTTTTACTAACAGACAACATTATATTTTAATTTTTTTAAAGATCATATCTTCTGATTTTTCATATTGACCAAACACAGTTTTAAAGTATTGCACGATTAATAGATACTTTAACGTTTGTTTTTTACAACGAAGGTTGCTATTTTACAATGTCGTAATAATATTTTATTTTGTAAATTTCACTGTCAAATTTTAAAAAATATAATCACATTCCTTGAAATTCTACCTAGTACATAATGAATCCTATTGCAGGATGGAGACTTTAAAATTAGCGCCACAAGGAGCTGGAAAAGGACTGATGTAATCCCGCTTTAGGTAAGCGAGCCGCGCGCTCTGCTGTTACGGTCGGTTGGCAATACAGCACGTACTCCGTAGTAACTTATGGAAGTTAAGTTATGGGCTGAAAACAATATCGGTAAGTCTCATATACGACTAAATGGCCCTATTCATACCTCAAGGATAATAAAATAATAATAATGTTGTTATTATTATTACTATAAATAATAATAATATCTTCTGTTGATATTGCCTTCAGACCATATTGAAGGTATTAAGGAGTACGAGCGGTACAGATAGCCGGCCATAATAGCAGAACGCGCAACTTGCTTA